ATGCCATATTCGAAGGGTAGCCAGAAGGCTATAATGCGATACCAAATTGGCTCCAAGTTTTTTCGGGTTGGGGGCGTCGCGTGGCTGACCAGTAGTGCGAAGTTGCAGGAAATTATCATTGTGAGGCATGGCGTGCTTACTTTGCATGAGGTTGTGTAACAAGGCGCAGCCGAATGCAAACAAGTTAGCGCTCGGGTATCCAATTAGTCGGAACATGAATCACCGTCAGCCAATACACTGGTCAGTGGCGCAGACGATATTTTGCCGCGGCCCCGCAGCATGAGTACTGAGCGTGGTTCAAACAGTCTGATTGAATACTCTCACTTCCACACAATGACGATGATTCTTCTTATTGTTCTGATCTTCTCGATCCCAATCGCGACGTACGCGATCACGTCGATATGGCTGAGGGTGAAGCTTAGAAGTGCGTCTGGGCTGCCACCTTCTGTACCCTACGTATTGCCATTGATTGCTCATACACCGACGTTTGCTTCTGGAAGCGACACGCTCGCAAATGCGCTCAGGTAAGAGAGGCGCAGACTGTGTATACAGCCGTGCTAATAGCATGTTGCAGGCGAAATGCGGTTCCTGGAGCAGCGCTCCGTTTCAAGGGCATCGGCTTCAATTTCGTGCTGTTGTCTGGCGCAGACTTCATCCGCAAGGCGCTTTCAACACACCATTTCGACTGGAACAAGATCAGTGCTCCTTTGTTCGTTGGCATGTTTGGCGGCCCACAAAAGATCAAGGATGCACTAGCAAAAGACGACTCTGGTATTGGTGTGAAGCCATACCCGGGTAGCGATGTGCACCCCGGGAGGCGGTTGATGCGCAACCAAATTGTCTTCTTCGCAGACGCGTTCTCCAAGACAAGCATGGATGCCCTGGTGCCCATTTTTATACTACAGATGGAAGACTGGTGCTCGAAGTCAAACGTGATCAGCGAAGATTGGGTCGAAATGCCGAGTCTGTATCTCTTCGTCCGGGATGTTCTTTTCTCAAGCAGCGTGGAAGCACTCTTTGGGCCGAATTTGCTAGGCCTCAATCCTGAACTCGCAAAAGACTTCTGGGAGTATGACGACAGCGTGGGGTTTCTAGCACTAGGCATGCCGAACTGGCTGAAACCCAATGCAGCAAAGGCGAGGAGTCGGGTGCTGGAGGCATTGAAGCGATGGAGACGGAACGCTGTCAATAACGCGGACCCAGCAATAGCGGAGGATGCTGCTTGGAACCCGGCATGGGGCCTTGGTGCTATTCGACGAAGAAACAAGCTGCTCGATGCAACAGAAGGCCTATTTGACGAGGATGGTCGGGCAAGCATCGATCTGGCGCTATTATGGTCGTGAGTAGTACGTTGCAACAAACCAGTTGTTAAGCTGACAGAATGCGCTTTAGAATGACCTCAAACGTCATACCCGCGTCCTTCTGGTACTTGGTAGAAGTCTTAGGATCCCAGCAATTGCAGAACCGCGTCTTGAGCGAAGTCGACCGCGAAATAGGCCCAGCCATTGCAGGCCATCTACCCAAGTTTGATCCGGCCACGCTAACGAACAACCCTCTGCTTCAAGCCGTTTACGCTGAGACATTGCGCCTGCACATCGCAACTTTGATCACCAGAGTCGTGAAGAAGGAGCATACTGTAGGGTCATGGCTACTCGCCAAGGGCCAAGACGTCATGGTTGCCAGCAATGTCGAACATATGCATCCGCAGTGGGACTCCACTGGCGCGGATGGTGATCACCCTGCAACAGATTTCTGGCCAGACCGTTTCCTCACTTCTCCTAATGGTTCATCCGATAAGGCGACATTCTCTCTCGACGGACGGCAGGGCCAATGGATTCCGTTCGGTCTGGGCGAGCACTTATGTCCAGGACGGCACTTTGCGAAACAAGAGATGATTATTAACGCGGTGGTGATGCTAGCGACTTTTGAAATGGAGCTGACCACGCCGGAAGGTTGGCGCCCTGCAAATGACTTTGGCCGCTATGGATTTGGGACGCAGCACCCGAAGGAGAAGGTCTCCTTCCGGATCAGGCGACGAAGATACGACTAGCCTTTCAGGTGTACTCTCTTCAATTTGTGCATGGCCGTCGCTGCTGTCCGTCGTGGAAACCGCAAGCAACGAAGGACGCGAGGAGAAGTCCAGCTGTATGCTTCAAAGCTGTTCAGAGTCCGTAGGCGATGGCATGCTATACGTGGCATACGTGCGACGTCGCTATTGTTCGTGTAAATACAGACAATGTTTGATGTCCGTTGAGATGAAGAGTAGTGGCTTGCGAAAGCTAGGACCATCGCCCATTCAATTTTCTGACGGTGTGAAGACTGAGGAGCTGCGCTGCATTGACTATCTGGGCAGGGCCCGGCTATGTATATGCATGTACATGTGCTATTTTAACCTGTAGTAGGGTAGCTCCGGCCAAGGCCGTAGGCCGTTATAAATTTTCACCAACTCCGTGCGTCGATGACATAATGCTTGGCAAATCATAAAATCCAATGTGAGCGCTCCAGCACTTACCTTCATGTACCTTTTGTTTGAATTCCAACACGAAAACACTGTGAGAATATAGCCATCGATCCACAGTTACCTGGACTGCGATACTCTTCAACGAACACCTCTCAGCTCGCCGGTCTTGCCTCACTTCACCTAATAGCGTGTTTCGTCTGTTAGAAGCAAAACACCCCGCTATAGTCGGATTCTAACCCCACTGGCTTCGCGGAGCAATAGAGGATGAAGTTACGCCACAAGCTAAAGCTATTCAGGCGATACCGAGGTGACTGGTTTTGAGCTGTTGCGAAGCTGAGTATCCTCACAACACACGAGAGGACTTTGATACAATCCCTATACGGCACTTGGGTCGGACTAGCTCTTTGCACCATACAACACACACCGTTTACATGATAAGTGTCTGCTGTTGCTATCAGCGGATTATCTGCAGGCAATCAGACCTCTTGTATAGTTGCTTTTGTGCCAGTTGCAAAAGCCCAACTCCCTTCAGCACCACGGGACACTCTTCGTCGCCAACGAACCTTTATGATTAGCTATAGGTCGAACACGCCTCCACGGAGATTTGGTCAGCTTGCTCTGCTACACATCTAGTTCTCGGCCCTACACGTTGGCGACATGCGACCCTGCAGAAACGGGAGCGCCGTTCGACCAAGGCGCAGCTGGTGGTTTTCTCAGGCGACGCCACAACGCCCAGCGGCCACTCTGAGCTGAAAATATTTGTAAATCTGTTGATTGCGCACACAGGTCCCTGGTGTTGGATAATTTCGCGTTCTAACTTGCTTAATGTCTGCACACTGACAACATTTTTCCAGCTTCGGCAAACATGGCGTATAAAGGAGAGCTGAACGTCAAGCTTCTGCGCGATCGACTTCGGAAAGCTGGCTTCAGGCAGCTGGTGTCCCCTCTGGCACGATCCTTAAGCAGAGAGTATAAAAAGTTGCAGATTCCCGCGATGTTAATCAGTACCATTGCAGCCTTTTTCGCGTTCTTCTTCCTTGGTTTTTCACTTGACCACCCCTTAGCGCAAGTCATCATGGGTTATGGCCACATTTCCGACCCTCCGGACCCAAACGACTGGACCGTTGATATGGGCATCTTGCGCTATACGAAGAATCAGCCCATCAATACTGAGCCCAAGTTTGACTTGATAACGGACAAGTCCATTACCAGACACTCGACACATCGATGAACTACACCTCCACCATATAAAACCAAGGCGAAATCAATGCTTGTTCCACCAACGCCGTAGCCGCCGCTTACAGTTACATTCTCCAACGCCAAGCAAGGGCAAGTGACTCCGCACCCACTGGTTACTTTCCATCTCGCCTATTTTTTTACTATGTCGGCCGCATCCCAGATAGCATCGTCAATCCCAAGGATTCTCCAGAGGAGAACATAACACGAGGAGCCTACTATGAAGGTCTCAAGGATAACCCACCAAGCGGCGAACTCCTCAAAGATAGGGGAACCAACTTGCGCGAAGTTCTCCGCACTATGGTTAGGCTGGGCGCACCGCACGAAGTGACAGAGCAGCACAAATGGCCGCTGGGCCAATGGTCGTAAATCAAAGTCTCACCCTGGAAAGAGATTAGCAACGAGAAAGAGAAGATATTGGCAACTGTTGGTAGGCTCTGTACGATCGTACGGGTGAGAACGGTAACGTATGATTCGTCTGTATATTGTTCTACCTTGCTATGAATGAGGGTGTGGAGATCTATATACTGCTTCCGGTGCGGGGATGCCAGTCGGACCGAAGTAGGATCGAGGCGCAACAGAATGTGTATACCGACAGCAACACCCACCACAGATAAAGTTTTCAAGCCATTCGCACTGGCTGCACAGTGCCCGCCGAGAAAGAGGCTTTCGGTGCAGCGACCAAGCATACGACCCTGCACTTCGCTACACTGATGTACGAGTTGGGTTGCTGGAAGGCATGTATTGCAAACGGCTACCCCATCATCTTCGGTATCAGCCGAAGGATCCGAATGATGCTAACGACTTCCTTGCACTGACGCACTGACGGACTTGGCCTGGACCATGATGGACTCGAAGGATCCATCGGTGATTAAGCCCCAGTGGTTCTGAGCAAGTGAATCTTCACGTCAGCTTGCAATCACGGCACCTACTAGGGTTTCATTTCTTTGGTTTGGAGTATTGTCGATGCCGAAGCAAATCAACACAATGCAGAGAGAGAATAGCAATTTAGGAGACACAATTCAGGCGTAATTACCTTCCCGGTACTTGGATTTATAAATATTTTTCATTGTCTATTCACGTATGCGTACAGCCAGGGTTTGCTACTAATTATTTCTAGGAAGTGGGCATGCCACCTTATCTCGATCATAATAATATTAATAGTAATTCACAGCTATTACCCACAACAAAAATAGCATAGAGAACAAATACAGCAAAAGGAAATGCACCGAAGTTTCGGACTAGCCTAAGCGAATTGAGCATCCAGTGTGATGCGCAGATGAAAGCAAAAAGAAATATGTAGTGACCTAACCAGGGGTCGAACCTGGAATCTCTTGATATCAAACCGAAGTCGTAGTCAAGCGCCTTGCCATTGGGCCATTAGGCCGTTCTATTGAACGATGGAGGTAATCACCAGCAACGTACATGATAAACTTAACAAACAAAGATAATGTTTACTGGCTTTGTGAAATGTGTGCGATTACTGCCTCGGTCGTGAGGTTGTTAGTGGAGTTAGGGAATTTTGTGGTTGTGGGGATGTCGGGAAGAGTTTGGCCGAGTGGGGCGAGGCGGGCTATTTCGCGGATACGGTGGCGTGTCTTAAGGTAGCACTGGACAGAGATGTGTCATAAACTTGAACTTCATGTTCGCTTTTAATTATAGAACATTTTGTGCTATAAAATCATGGGCGCTGTTGTGGTGGATCTTTCGCAGAGAAGCATTTAAGCCCTCGCAGCGGGTTGCGAAAGGCTGTTTCCTGCGACGAACCATTAACAAAATGTCTTTCGTTTCATGGGAATGTAATAGCTTACCTCCATCGGGGTACAAGACTTGCTCATTGTAGAAGACACCTCCTGGACCGGCCAGCGTGAGAACTGTCGCAGCCATGTCTGTGTCCTTTCCAGGACGACCAGCCGGGTTCGACATTCCTGGCTCGATTGCGCTCTTGTTATTCTCATCGGATGAGACAGTAGTCATCTGCGAGATATGAGCATACAATTGAAATTGGTGAAGGTAAGAACTCCATACCTCACTGGGGAAAACACCCGGCGCAATAGTGTTCACGCGAACCTTAGTGCCAATGAACGTCGTGGCCAACATCCTGCTCAGATGCGTGGCCGCCGCCTTGCTCGTAGCATATGAAAACTGGCCGTTGCTGGATCCCTTCATGGAACCCGAAATGCTGCTCACGTTGATGATCGAAGAAGTGTATCCAGGGGTGACTTTACCGCCCTTGGCCAGTAGCGGCAAAAAGGTCATGCTCATCCAGAAGATGCTGCTGACGTTGGTCTTCATGGTGTCGGCCCAGTTCTCGGGCTGCGACTTGAGTAAGTGGTCTGAGATGGCTTGCGGGTCTTCCATGTCTGGCTGGCCGGCGGAAGAGAACTTTTTGTTGTCGTCGCGGGCTATTCCAGCGTTGTTGACAAGGATTTGGATGCCCTTGGGCTCTTTTTAGGAGAGCTCGTCGTAGAGGCGCTTTACGTCTGCCTTGTCACTATGGTGTTGTAAGTCTTGAACCTAACGAATACGGTGGTTGGAGGCAAATATGCTTACCTGACGTCTCCCTGCAAATGAATGATCTGACCGGGGCTGCTGTTGTAGAGCTCGTCGGCCTTCTTGAGTACCTCCTCACGTCGTGATGTGATGTATACTTTGGCGCCATTGGCAACGAGCGCCTATATGATCATCAAACCAATACCAGTTCCACCACCTGTGACAAGGGCGGTGACGTGTGAGACGTCGAAGAGCTTGTAGCCCTTGAGGTCCTCGTTATTGGCTTTGCCGTTAGCCATGTTTCTGACGATTTGGTAGATAGTCTGCGGGAGGAATTGATTGTTTCGAAGCGTAGATGCAAATGTATTTGCGGTTGTTGGGAATTTTCGTGAGAAGAGACTTAGCATGTTGAGTGAAATGCGTGGTTGCTGTTTTTATGTGGTAGTGGAGCAAGGAACGATGTGACAGGTACTCATGTCAACATAATGATGTTGAGGCGCATGAGACTCAAAGGGTACATGTACTCAATACTGGAGAGACTCTCTGGCTGCATTCATTATGAGTGTATATGGGCATTCAGACCTAATGTTCCCATAGATTGAGCGCAGTAGTCTAACGGGGACTACTCTTACGCTCCAATTCAGCTAGCAGTTCACGGCTATTGCAACTAAAGGTGAGCTAGAGGCGGTTGGGGCTTAGCGGTGGGCGAAAAGTCGCGCATCGCATCGCTTTGGTGAGTATCTGGAGGAGTCTTCGTTCTAAGTTCACCAGTACGTCTTCGCAGGATTCAGGGCGATCGATGACGCCATAACCCGACCGAAGCATCTCCGGGCCATCTCCGCGCTCCAATCTTGTCTCCGCGCAGTGAGGCCTCGAAAGCACGCAAAATGTTACAAACCACACTTGCAACCACTGCAACGATAATCACGCTCTTCCGAACCTCGGAAAACCATGACGCAATGCGTGTTTTTTGTCGGCCTGCACGAGTTGATTGGACACAGGGCATTAGTAAGGCAGCGACAGGGCATTAGTAAGGCAGCGTCGGGAATAGTGATATGGCATCATCCCAACCTCGCTGCCAAATGAGGGGAAGAATCGGCATGTGAAAGTCGACTTGACGTCTGACAAGCGAAGGACATTTCTAATCGCATAGACGTATATAACAGCATCTCAGCTGTGCTTGATCTCATCTCATACTCAAACAACTTAGCATCTCAGCCATTGACTTAGCAGGCCACCTAGGTACTTTTTTGATAAAACATCATGACGACGACGGCCTCCCTCCCAACACCCGCCCGCCAACTCTCCAACCCCAAACCCTCCTCCAGCCACACCACCACATCCTCAGATGTAAACTTCCAGGGCCTTCGCATTCCTCGCGGCCCCGTGACGGTATCCCTCTCCTTCTACAAAGCCCCCGAAGACGGCGCGCCACCACACAATTACGTTGAGCCGCTCCCCGGCATCCCACAACGAAACTGGCTCGACGACCGGACAGACGTCACACTGCAAGATCTCCGGGGCCAGGAGCAGAAATTCACCCTGGACAACAATGCCTTTGATACATTCCAGAACATCAAGAGCGGGATGGATAGGGACGGCTTTGAGGACGATAAGCGGATAAGGAGCGTATACTATCCCGAGGTGGAGAAGCTGCTGCTGGAAAATGTACAAGGCGCGCAAAGGGTGGTACTGTTCGATCACACGATCCGTCGACCGACCGGAAATCGCAACCCCGTGACACGCGTCCACATCGACCAGACGCCCTTCTCCGCCGCCGAGCGGGTGAAACTCCACCTACCTGACGAGGCCGAGACCCTCCTGCAAGGCCGCTACCGCATCATCAACGTCTGGCGCCCGCTTAATGGCCCCGTCATGACCTTCCCTTTGGCGGTCGCGGATAGCCAGACAGTGCAAGACGTAGATCTTGTTCCGATTGAGCATCGGTATCCGGATCGCAAGGGGCAGACGGCGGCGGTGGCACACAACTCGAGCCAGAAGTGGTACTACTGGTCGGGCATGAAGAATGAGGATCGCTTGCTGCTCAAGTGCTTTGACAGCGATGAGAGCGTAGGGCAGTGGGGACGCGTGCCGCATACCGCTTTTACCGACCCACGGACACCAGAAGGGGCTGTGGGGAGGGAAAGTATTGAGATTCGTGCGCTGGTGTTTGGTTGATGGTGATAGTATAAACGCGTTTTGGACACCTTTTCTGTCATTTCTAGATCTTTCCACTTTAGATTCAGCGTTTAGCATGCTTAATTTCAGTCTCGCTCAATAATTATCGTTACTCATTGAAAACCCCAATCCTAGGCGTAAACATGATGTGCTGATTGCGCTGATTCGACAGATTCAATGTTCTCTCTCTTCGTAGGACTAGAAGATACTCAAGGTAGGGAAATGCATGGCTATCGAGCTACGATGTAGAATCTAATAAATAGATCAGGAAGGCATATGAGAGAATGAGACTAGGTGGCACTGTAGGCTTTATATGGACTACGACTTATCCGCGATCACACAGTCAACAGTTACATGGTTGTATAGAAGATTTTCTCTGAGTCGCTGTGTGACAGTCGCCCACATCGTGAAGTTACCGAGATTTCACCCTCACTAAGCAGCACTAGTTCTATAGTCTCCCAACTTCATTACCTTGCATTCCCAGTCCTCAACACCGCCCTATACTTTGCTCGCAAATACGCCCTACAATCTGCCTAAGATCCTCTAGAGTCTTACTGGCACTTTGCACAAACGCCGACGTTGGCGTATTCTCCTCTCCCGTACATTCTAGTATAACTCTATAGCTCACTGGTTTTCGTTGACGAACTTTGCCCTGAAAAAGAGCCCGAGTCTTCTTCCGTCAAACTTAGCGTGGGATTCGGCCCAACGATCTGAACAAGTGCGAATTAGCAGCCGTAGTGGGTACGTGGTAGAGGTAAAGTGTACCTAGAGTAGCTTGTGCCAGTTGTCCATCTGTTTCCGTGAAATCTGGCATAGCCTGGTCTCCCAGTTCACTTTTATCGGCCCGAGGTGGTGCCGTTAGTGCATGTGGACCTGTTGCTTCCTTGGTTTCATCTTTTGAAGTCATTATAACCAAGACTAGTTGAGGGAATCCTGATGATAATGATAGTTGCTAGAAAGCTCAAAGCAATGTTTCCTCGACTTTAGAGCTGCGAGATTACGAATAAAAGGGACCTTCTACATTAGTTTGACTTCAACAGTTGTGACTCAAGAACTTCTGACTCAATAACGCGTCATGATACCAAGACGTGATTACGACGCGGCTTACCATTTCACATCACTGTCGAGCACAGAAGCGTAGGGATACACACGCAGTAGCCCCGGATGTATAACAGGCTTCCATTATTGCATGTGGCTATGATGAAGTCAAAAGAGGGTGGTGCCATAGGCGCTATGTATGGTCCGGAAAAGGCGTGTTGAAGCGATTCACGAAATTGAGTTCAGTGACTGTTGAAGTCAAGAAGGCGAGCGAAACGAAGACGCGCAGTAGCCTACAAGTCAAGATAACCTTGACTTATTTCCCCGAGTTAGTAGTCATCTCCACGAGAGATGACCTCCTTGCAGTTAGGCCTGAGCAGGACAGTCTGTTAGAAGACATTGAATTAGCACAGCGCTCGAATGTTGTGTTGGAAAGGATACCCACATGCTCGAACTGTGCGACATAAGAACCAGGTACATCAACGAGCGGCGCATACGAATCGACGATACCGTTGTTTATGAGCGACCTCATGCCGAGATGGTAGTTCTTCACTCCGGGGAGGCGTTCAAGGTAACGGCGGGCAAAAACCAGAGTGCCAAAGTTCTCATCAATGGTCTTCAGAAGCGACTTGGCGGATGCATGATGGAGACCAGTAGCGCTGATTTTCTCGTTGCGTC